TTAATTTGGAGCAGTCACCACGTGGCGATAGACAATGGATGAGTCTTAAATTGCACAATGAGATCGTTTGAGATTCTTGTTTTAAATCTTCATTCCACCCAGGATGAATTTTCAGCAACTGCATATAGAATGAAGATATTCAATAAAAAAACTACAGTTATCGGACTTTTCAGGAAAGTTAAACGTGCATCAATGACACGGCTGTAGGTGAAGAGACAGTCCGTGAAGAGACAGCCGAAGCCCGTCCTTCACCCTTGAACTCCCAGCAGCGAAGAGGAAAAAAACCGGTCCAACAACTGCCACCAAGGGCTTGGACGAAACGATGACGATTCTTGAAGCGATAGTCTGATGATAGATGCCGGCTTGCTAGCACACATATCAATTTAGTAATAAGAAACTTGCAGATATATATTATGTTTATGGGCACACGGACTGAAATGGACTAGCCTGCATGAGAAAATGTATCACACCGTTTCCCACACAGATGTCTACCGTTGCATCGATAATTTGAACTAACGCACAACACAGATTAAGCTGGAGTTTTATGAGAAAGCAAACATATTAGTCAAAAAGCGTTACTACATTTCACTGTGTCTGGGAAAAGCTGTACACATAGTGGGAATTTTATAAAAACCTTGAAACAAGTATCAGAGCAATCGATACGTGACTTGGTGTCTTAAGTTTTCAATTTCCCGTAACACATAACATTATTCCCATAGTAGTCAAGTTACAATTGGATTGTGTTCCGTAAATGAGAAATTCGCAGGTTATTACTTAAAATTCAGAACAAAATGTCGGGTTCAGTGGCTAGCAGTCAATTTGCAGTACTTTCATACATAAATTATATTTTCTTTAATTTCTGAAATGTTTTACATATGTTACTGAAAAGCTATAACGTTTCGGATAACTAATATTCCTTACACCTTTCTGTTCATTTGCTAACAGATAGACGATAGACATATAGACATAAGACATCTACATAGAGCATTCACTGCATAATCGATCTGCTACAGGGGAAAATATATATGAGTTCTGTTCCAATTTTTTGCTTGTTTTAGTAGCACAATTTTCATGTCTAGCTCGTTACTTGTAATGATCACTAAGTGTACTGCACACTTTTTTTTTTTTTTTTTTTTTTTGTAAATTCCATGACATTAGTCAACCCGGACCAGCCTGCAGCCAACCAAACGTATGAGTGAAGGTGGCCAACCGACACCCAAACTAATCATGAAATCTCAAAAAAAAAGAATTCTTTGTTGGAAATAAATCCACTAAATTCCTAACACTTACAAATGTGTGTATGTTTTCTATTTATTTAATTTTTTTCTAACTTAGTGAACAAGAAAAACAAGCTCGATGAAATAAATGTTCTTAATTAATCAAATTGAACCTTGGATCAACTCTTTTAAATAAAATTGCTACAATGAATTTTTTGTAGTTTGTGGTCTTCGATGTTTTGAATTAAGTAGTTTTTATTTCGAAAAATTTTTATTATTTGAAAGGTCCATTGAATTTTGGCTGAAAAGCATGAGGTGGTTGTAAAGCCTTTAAAAATACCTCATCTCCAATATTAAATTTTGGTGGTTCTCTGCCTTTAACAACTTTATTTTGAGACTGAAAATATTTTTCTTCGTTTTGTTTCACTAATTCTCTAGTTGCTTTAATGTGTTGTCTCTGACGTAATAAGTATTGTGAAGGATTATCTACCGTTGCCGGTTCATTATTTGTATCTAGAGGTGTATTGAGTTCTCGCCCAAAAAATAACTGTGCGGGAGTAAAACCTGTCACTATGTGTTTAGAATTGTTGTAATATAGTTTGAAAAAAGCTAATCTATCTGACCATTCGATTACCTTATTGGATAAAGAAGCTATGCTTTCTTTCATAGTTCGATGAACTCTTTCTATGATTCCATTAGACTGTGGATAATAAATGGAGCTTTTTCGGTGTTCAATATTGAGATCTTTTAGAAATTTTTCAAATTCAGCTGAACAAAAATTTGAAGCATTATCAGATAAAATTACTTTTGGAATACCAAATTTTGAAAAATAAAGATTCATACACCTTATTATTGTAGCAGATGAAATATTTGACAGAGGAATAGCTTCTAAATATCTTGAATAATGATCAATAATAGTTAGAATGAAAAATTTGCCATCATGTGATTGATCTGGGCAATTTACCCACAATGTCAATTGCTAACATTTCTCCAGGTGCTAAATCAGAATTTTTTATATTGCTTGTAATTGTTTTACATGACCTTGGTTTATTCTCCAAACACTGTTGACATTTTTCACAAAAGTGTTTTGTATCTAAAAACATGCCCTTCCAGAAATACGTTTTCTTAATGAATTCATAAGTTTTACTAGTACCAAAATGCGGAGCATGAGCAATCTCTAAACAAGGTTTTACTAAAGAATTTGGAAGTAGAATTTTATATTTTCTAAATGCCTTGTCTTTAAATGATGCGCTCTAGGTCTTAATTGTTATCATACTACTACCATTTTTTTATCAATAAAATATTTTCCACAAATATCAGCTTTATTATTGTTAATTTGGCTTAAGATATCCTTAATATTTTTGTCATTTCTTTGGTGATTAACTATATTTTGGATGCTTAACTGAGTATTATCTGAATGAAATAAGTTGATATTGTTTACACTATGAGATGCTTCAGGAAACTCTAGAAAGAAAATCTGCAGGATTGGAAAAACCAGGTATATGTTTTAGAGAGTAATCAAAATCTTGTAAATACAACAACCATCTGGCAACAATGTCAGGCTGCTTATCCAGCTGCATATGAAAAGTGAGTGGTCTAGCATCAGTTAAAATAGTAAATTTTTTGCCATATAAATGTTCATAAAAATGCTTGACAGAAGAAAAAATAGCATAAAGCTCACGCCTGATCGATGGGTATCTAGACTCAGCAGGAGTGAGAAGTTTCGAATAAAATTCTACAGGAAAGAATTTTATCATCAATCTTTTGTAACAGAATACCACACATAGCTACTTTAGAAGCATCAGTGATCAAAAATATCTCATGATTATCATCAATGTTCCTTATAGTTGGTTTGTCCAACATTATTGATTGTAATTTATCAAAAGCATCTTGGCAATCTTGATTCCAAACAAAGGGAACATGTCTTTTAGTTAAGTGTACTATTGGCTGAGTGATCTCAGCAAAATTATGGATTAAATGTGTCTAAAATAGTTCATCATGCCAAGAAAAGCCTGAACTTGTTTTTACATCCTTTGGAATAGGAAATCTTGTAACCTTTGAAATATTTTCTTCAGAAGGAGAAAAAACCTGCTTGTGAAATATTGAAACCCAAATAAGTTATTTCAGATTTACAGAGCTGCACTTTAGCTGGATCTAGAGTTAAATTAAATGATTTTAATCTGTCAAACACTTTTTGAAGAATTACTTTTAACTCACTCATACTATCAGCTGCAATAATAATGTCGTCTAGAAAAAAAATTGAACATTACTACCTTTAATGTCATTTAAACATTTTGAAATTAATGTATGGAAATAAGAAGTGCTATTGCGAGCTCCAAAGGGAAGTCTACAAGGATGAAAATTACCCAGTTCGGTGCAAAATGCCAACTTTTTCTTTATCAGAGGCCTGCAAATTGATCTGGAAAAAGGCTGACTTCAAATCCAGTACACAATACAATTTCCTACCAGCAATGTTATGCAAAATCTCAGAAATTTTTGGTAAACAAATTTTGTATGATTCTGTGATACAGTTTAATAGACGATAATCTACAACCATACGAAATTTTGGTGCATTTTTATCTTCACCAGGTAAATTCTTTTTCCTAACAAATATTACAGGAAAACTATAACTTGAAGAAGAGGGTTCTATTATGCCTGCTTCTAATAATTTTGCAATTTCTTGTTGAGCATACTGTTTTGCAATTTTAGGAATAGGGTAAGGTCTAGTTTGAATTGGGAAATTGTGAAGAAGTTTAAATTCTGGTACAACTTTATCAGTAGATCCTAAAGTATTATATGATTTTGAAAACACAGCATAGTTATTCATTAGCAATTCTATCATTTCATTTTTTGCTTGTTCATTTAAATGATCTAGTTTAAAGTCTGATACATTTAATTCCTCTTTTCTAAGTTTAATTACTTCTTGCAGATTTAGTGTGTTGATTTGTAAAGTCTCATGATTTTTGGGACTAACAATATCCTCAAAGTGAAATGGCACAGCAGTTCCAATAACAGAATTCTTCCTAAAAATTAATTTCTCATTGGTGTTGGTTTCAACAATAGTTTGAATGTGGTTGTGACAATCAACTATATGTAAAGATTCATTGATATGGAACTTATTTTGTGATGGCTTTGGAGAAAGCAAAATTTCTTTAAATTGTTTTAAAGCTTCAGGAACAGCTAAAGAAATCATTTGAGTTTGACCTGGCTGGACAGTTATATTAGAAACCATTCTTAATGAGTTTAAATTACAATTTTTTCTTCTTACATTAACTGAGTTGCTTAATTTTTTATTGGGATAATTTTCTTCAAAGTCCAAATGAGTATTATCTACTATGAGTTTCTTATTTATGGAATCTAACAAAATTTTGTTACTTTGAATGAAGTCATAACCTAGGATTATCTGATAAGTAGAATTCCAATTGTTTTGGGTGACATAAAATAAATTAGTGAACCATTTACTTTGAATTTTGAATTTTAAATTAACTGCAGACATGTAAGGGATGCATGAATCTTCAATAGTTTTTTATTCTTACCATCCGAGAAACAAATTCAACTTTAGTGAATTGTTTAATTTCCTCAATAACATCTGGTTGGACTAAAGATAAATTTGCACCAGTATCAAGAAGAGCTTCATAAGTCTGAGAACCAATTTTAAGTTTGATTATTGGCAGATAATTAGAATTTTCTGAGTTACAAGACATCAACAATTTGGTTGAGTTTCTATATTATTACATCTTTTATTTTTTGCAAACTTGTGTTGGACATTATTGCTGTTACTTTGGATCTTTTTTGGATTATGATGTCTATACAGGTGTTCTTTATAACCCCAGTCTCTGCGGATTCCTGCAAGGGGTCTAAAATTTTTGTTGTAATATATCTGGCAAGAATCCTTAGCTAGTTTAAATGCTTATTCTGACCTTTTTTGTATTGACTATTATTTCTGTAAGGATGATAGTTCCTCCGCCAAGTGTTTCGAAATTGTCTGTGTCCCCTGAATGTGTTGTTTCTAAAATTATGCTGGTCTTGCCTAGGAAAATACCAACAATCTGTTGTTAAGTGTCTTTTGCTACATATATGACAAGATACACTATTAAAGTTGCTAGAATTTTGAGATGTAGAAGCATTGTGATTTATTCTTGTATAAGATGTGTTTATAGGCTTATTTTGAGAAAGTTGATTTACTTTATCTGTTAGCTCCTGAATAATTTTATTCTGTTCAAGTCTTTCTTTGAGAAGATTATTAATCTCTAAATTTTGCTCAACATTTATACTGTTCAAATATGTTTTCTCATCATTCAATGCATTTTCTATATTACTTGCCAATTCTACAGCCTTATCAAAGGAAGATGGACCTAATTTCTTAACTTCAATCCTAATGTCTGTTCTGAGGGCCTCAAGAAATTTAGTGAGCTTCATTTTCTCTTTTAATTTATGTAAACTAGAATCCTCAACCGAATCTTCATTTATGTATTTTGTCGCTGTTGTAGTAATCTCGTCAGCTAATTCCCTAACAGATTGGTTACACTTTTGAGAAATGTTTGAGAATTGCTGTAGAATGTCCTGAAAGGATTCAACTCGTGCAAATTTATTCTTTAATAATTTTTCTAAATTTTCAAATTTATTTTCCTTAGCCACTCTTGGATCATTAATTAGGAAATCTAGAGCTTTATCCCTACAGTTTATTTTCAGAATGATTATTTTCTTTTCATCTGACCATTTTTCTAATTTAGCAACACTATTTATTTGATCAAGAAAGAAATTTACATTTTCAGATAAGTTGCCACTAAATGTGGGCAGAGCAGAAGCTAGGGAAGTTGCCATACCATGTTAGATCTACCTTTAAGCTTTGACATGGATGAAGAAATATAGTTACTTATGTTGCATTACCTTACAATCTGCTATTTCTATTTTAATGTTATTGAGATCTACATTATTTTACACAAACACTTAGCACTCTCTCTGATAATTTACATATACATTTACCAAACATGCATATAAGAGTAGATAGCAAAGTTAAGGTAATTTTTTTTTATTTAGTAATTAATTAGGATCTCCTGTAACTTTAACCATGCATATATCAAATTAGTGATGCAATATAAGTACATTGATCATTAACACTTCTGGATTCTAATACTGCTGAACATTATTTTATCATTACATACCACAATCCAATGAAATTACTGAAATCAGCTTTTGATTCAAATATCTTAAAACTTTCTTTAAATATGCACATATATATAACAATACATATGAAATTGAATTTTTTGAATTATCCAAAATAGAATTACTCTTTCATGGCATATTACCCATCATTTATCATAAATTTTCAACAATATAAATCATATGTGTAGCAAATATACTATAGGTCACACATTTTATTTGAATTCTCAACCTGAACTAAATGATTTTAAGTTATTTCTTTTGTCACGGCACCATATGTAGAAAAATAATATTACGGCACCATATGTGGTGAAAATAATATTTAAGAAGAGCTATATGTAGTGAAAATATTTGTAGTAGTAAAAATACTTATATATTTTAATTTCTTATGTAATGAAAAATGTGTTAATTTCTGTAAGCTATGAGAAATATTTAATATAATTATTCAGGTGTATAAGTGATAACCAAAATTTTGAATATCAATTTTATCAGCGATGAAGTTATAACAATGATTAAGAGTACATCACGTTGTTTTCCGCAATAACCCGAATGATAGGGATAAAAAATGTATGACCTACAGAGGATAGCAAAATAAAGTACTTACCCCAGACGTTGTGATAGTTGAAGAAGAAAATACAAGTTACACAACTACAATTCACTCTTTTTATCTTTCCTATCAAAAAATTTTATTGCTGAGCTCACACAAAATAACAAGAAAACAAAAAAAATCAGATCATAACTATAGTCCTACTATTAATACCGAGCGTCCATTCGTTTATCGATATACTACAGAGCACTATCCATTTGCATCACTTTCTATAAATCACGAAATATCTGGAATCGAAGAAAATATGTAGACCAGGAATATACTTATCTTGAAATTTCTTTTGATTTTGAAGCTTCTACCAGTGAATTAATTTGGAGCAGTCACCACGTGGCGATAGACAATGGATGAGTCTTAAATTGCACAATGAGATCGTTTAAGATTCTTGTTTTAAATCTTCATTCCACCCAGGATGAATTTTCAGCAACTGCATATAGAATGAAGATATTCAATAAAAAAACTACAGTTATCGGACTTTTCAGGAAAGTTAAACGTGCATCATGACACGGCTGTAGGTGAAGAGACAGTCCGTGAAGAGACAGGCCGAAGCCCGTCCTTCACCCTTGAACTCCCAGCAGCGAAGAGGAAAAAAACCGGTCCAACAACTGCCACCAAGGGCTTGGACGAAACGATGACGATTCTTGAAGCGATAGTCTGATGATAGATGCCGGCTTGCTAGCACACATATCAATTTAGTAATAAGAAACTTGCAGATATATATTATGTTTATGGGCACACGGACTGAAATGGACTAGCCGCAAGGAACATGTATCGACACCGCTTCCCACACAGATGTCTACCGTGTCATTCATTGTTTGAATAATTGCACCACAGATTAAGCTGGAGTTTTATGAGAAAGCAAACATATTGGTCGGCAGCGTACTACATGCACACCTGTCCTAGGAAAAGCTGTGCAGTGGGAATTTTATAAGGAACCTTGAACAAGTATCAGAGCAATCGAACGTGACTTGGGTGTACTTAAGTCTTTTCAATTTCCCGTAACACATAACATAATT